ACATGTCAAATTCAAGTGATCCCACAACCTGATCCGAACTCCTCTCCCATATATTTCTAAGTTGTACATTTTTCTGGATGCATGCAAGAAAGGGTTCAAAGCTGGCTGCAGGCCCTTAATTGGTTTGGATGGATGTTTCTTGAAAGGATATTATGGAGGTCAATTGTTAAGTGCAGTTGGGGAGGATGCCAACAAAAGTTTCTATGTCATTGCATATGCAGTTGTTGATAGTGAAACAAAAGAGAACTGGAAGTGGTTTTTAACCCTGTTACAGGAAGACATTGGCCCTCACGCAGTGTTTGGATGGAATTTTATTTCTGACCAACAGAAGGTGTGTTAAGCTTGTTTCATTTGAACTTGCTTTAGTATTCAGCCACATATTTGTTTGCTGATTTTTTTTCTTCAGTCAATATACATTTGGTTATTGGTTATTCAGTTATTTGTTGAATGATTTTTTTCTGCTGTTAGTTACCTGCTTATTAGTTATTGGTTTTTTTGTATTTGCATTCAGTGTATTGCTTATTGGTTTAAAAGCCAATGCTGCATTTTCATGATTACACAAACTGCATTTTTTACTGCATTGCTGATGTTAAGTGCATTGCTGATGTTAAGTGCATTTCTGATGTTAAGTGCATTTGTGTTAATGTCAGGGACCAATTAGTCCCCCGTGCAATTTGTCAGGGACCAAAACGACCCTCGAGGGAAATTGCCAGGGACCTAATTGATCCTCGTATATTTAAGTCAGCAACACTTTGTGGCAATCTATATATGTTTTTGTGATACCTTTTTTTTGTGTCTGTGTGTAGGGGCTGATTCCAGCACTGCAAGAGGTGATGCCTGGTGCATATCATCGTTTTTGTGTGCAGCACGTTTGGAAGAATTTCATAAAGCAATGGAAAGACAAGGCAATTCAAGCCATGGTTTGGGAGTGTTCAAGATGCACCACTGTCCCCCAGTTCCAGCAATGCATGGCACGGTTGAAAGTAAAGAATGAGGCTGCATGGAAGTACTTGGATGGCATCCAGCCCTCAAGTTGGGTGAAAGCTTATTTCAGCCACTGGCCGAAATGTGATAATATCACAAACAACATGGCAGAGGTATGGAATGCCAAGATCGTTGGATATAGGTCAAAACCGATTATCACTCTATTGGAGGAACTGAGATGCTACATTATGAGGAGGATGGCTGCACATCAGAGGGTGTTAGGAACTGTTCGGGGTAAAATAGCTCCTGCTCAGCAATTGAAACTGGATCAGTTAAAGGTTCTTAGCAATTCATGGACACCCACTTGGACTGGAAATCTGCAGCAAGATATGTATGAGGTCAGTGGGAAAGGTGATAGAGTTGGAGTCAATTTAACAACACATACATGTGCATGCAATGTATGGCAGTTGACTGGACTACCTTGTGAGCATGCTATAGCAGCAATTTGTCACAAAAACGAGCTAGCCGAGAACTATGTCCATCAATGGCTTACAGTTGATGCATTGCATGCCACATATGAGCACACCTTAAACCCAGTGAACTCGGACAAGTATTGGCCTGCATCTAATGAACCCAAACCTCTTCCACCAAAACTGAAAAGGCCAATTGGGCATCCCAAGAAATATAGGAAGAAGGACCCAACTAAAGACCAAGGGAGCATGACAAAGAAAGTTAAAAGGACATATGAAGCCAAGTGTAGTAAGTGTGGTCAGACTGGACACTATGACAAGAGTTGTAAGGGGCCACCAGCTTCCAAAACAGACAAGAGCCAAGCAAGACCACAATCTGTGAGGATTGACACAGACTCAGTAAATGAAATCCCATTAAGTCAAGGAGGCCCGTCAGAAATTGGTAGTTCTCAGGCACAACAAGTCAACTTGAGAGGATGCAGCCCACCTCCTTCAAATCCAGAAGAAGCAAATGCAGTGTTGACTGAAGAGACAATGAAGGCAGCCAGCACTGGCACACGAAGCAGATTTATGCACTTCATGACAACACCTGGTTTCATGCCACCAAGGCGATCCTCAAGAAAATGAGCTGCTGATGAACAAGAACAAGGGAGTAGTGCATGAGCCAACTGAAAAGGAGTGGATATAATGCCCTTTTTTTGTAAATTCTGGCCATTTTTTTTTGAGGCCTTTTACAGATATAATGTAATCATTTTGATGTATGGCCAAGATTGTATTTATAGGCCTCACTTATGATTCCTATTAGTTGGCTTTTATTTGTAATGCACTACTGTTTTGTAGTTCTAGGAAGACAATTATTGTGGATACTGGTTATATTCTATACATGCATGTTAAGTGCCATTTATTTTGATTGATGGCTGATGAATGATGCAGGGTTGATGCATGTTATTATGCACTACTGTTTTCCTGTTTTTTAATTTTTAATTTTCTGATCATCTGTTTAATTTCTGATCATCTGTTTAATTTTGGACTGTTTTTTAATTTTGTCCTATGTTTGGACATATTGGACAACATCTGTAACTGAAATGTGTCTTCTATTTTGAACTTGTACTGGACAGCATCTGTTTTGAAATGTGACTATTTTGATCTGTTTGGGGACCAATAAGGCCCCGTGCATTTTGTTAGGGACCAAAATGGTCCTCGTGCAATTTGTCAGGGGCCAATATGGCAGTATTTATTTTGCCCTGGTGCACAAATATGACCCTTTTAAATATGGAACTTCTATAACAACAATTTCATGATTTATGCATCTATATCTGTACATGGCTTATTCATTCCATGCATAACTATGCAATAAGTTAGGGACCATTAAGTCCACTGTGCATTTTGTCAGGGACCATAATGTGCCTCGAGTAACATTGCCAGGGACCTAAATGGCCCTCGTGTTTTGCAATCGATAACAACATTATGCATATCAGTATGCAACTTCTATATGTGCAATTCATGAGTTATGCATCTCTATCAGTAGCAATCTAATTAGGCCATATGATAATACACACAAACAGATTGGAACTAACACATAATTTGAATAACATAAAGAATGAGTACTCATTACAATTCACTGAAGGAAAAATACATTTGGGTCACTTGTTTTCACTTTTACCACACTAACAACAAACATACAGATCATTATCATAGCAACACAAGCACCTAAGACCCTAGCTGACCTATCAACTGTCCTAATTTTTTTTGTCCATCCTATCGAACTCCTCCACCATCTTCAGGTATACATCATTCAGTTTTCTTTCCTGCTGATGAAGTTTCATTCCTTGCTCAGTAATCTTCACATCTTGCTCTCTCATCATCATCTCCACATACTTCAACTTGAAGTTCATTTCAGCAACATCCAACTCCACAGTGTGAATTCTTGCTTCTTCCAGTTCCATGGGTTCATTACACATGTCATCTACCCATCTAAAAAAAAATCACAATAGGGCTTCTTCTCCTGAAAAAAATAAACACCATGGTTAGCAAGTGTTCCAACTCAATAAAGGGGCAGATTACAAATTCGTACCTTGAAATTAGGACACCCAAGGAAAACCCTGTTTGGGTTCCTCTCAGTTTTGGAGGTATAGACAATACTTTGTCTCCCACATTTGCACCTCCAACCAGTGGTCCTTGCCATTGTTCTTCCCCCCATTGATTTACTCCCACTTGACCCCCCCCATGCCAGAAGAAACACTCATATTCTCCCACGCCCAGAAATCCGGTTGATGGCTTAATGTCTTTCGTCGAGTTTCAATCATCAAAGTGCAAACATTCTGGGGGCGTTTTGCTGTTTACAGATTTGCTCATCAATTTGGGGGATGGAGTTTCCGGTTTAAGGTTCGATTGAAGGCATTTGGGTTTTTTTTTCAATTTTAGGGTTCATTATTTGGGTTTTATCAATTAATTGGATTCAAGTAAAACGACATTGTGCTTTCCATGGAAAGCTTTGCAATCATTTTGATTCAAAACGTCGTCGTCCAGCTTTCCACTATGTCCACCGTGGAGTCCGCGTCAGCAGATAACGTGTCACATGGGCACCGTTAGTTTGACCGTGACAGAGGAGTTGACAAAAGGACTAACGTGACCCTTTTTTCATAACTTTAGGGACCAATTTGGTACTTTTATATTGTCAGGGATTAAAATGGATTTCGCTAATATTGCTAGGGACCAAAAATGATGTTTACTCTTGATTTTATCACCTTCACTTTTAGATTAGGCAAATTGTATTCGTACCATTGCAATCTCTTACAAAATTTGTACACTAAGATGTATTAAAATGGCATTATCCAGTCAACAAGATTAGTGTTTGCCGTGTCTATTACTAAGCTTGGTTGATAATATATAAAATTTTCAAAGAAAGATTCTACTTAAAGATTATAAAAACTACATTATTTCAAAGTCATTTTTATGGATTAAGATTAATGGTGACAGCACGTTTGCAAAAACTTGAACAATTGAGACTAAATTAACCCAATCTAAAGATTGGAAACTAGATTGAGGGTTCTGACTAAACACAAGGAGGCATTATTTTGCATCCCCCCAGTTATGACTAGAAATTGGCAACTGAAATTTCATTGTATCTTGGTCCACTTACAACTCACACTAATTCACTTTTATTCTTTAGCTGTTCTTTCCCTTTTTTTTTGTCATCAGAAAGTTAAGCATAAAACATAACGCAATTGTATCAAAATGAATGCAAGTTGAATGGAAAACTTATTATTTATTTAGAAAAGAAGACATCAATCTTACTTGATACACACTAAAATACCTGATATTCTTCATTTGACCAAGAAGAATGAAAGGTTCAGCATTGCCAAGCTTTCCAACCAGACTCTAAATTGAACTAGTTGATAACAAATATCTCTTCTCACTTTAAAGGGAAAAAAAACAAAGAGTTATTTATCCTACAAATCCTGCCAAAGTCAACTTCAGCACTCACTGAAGGGAAGCTATACTTATGAATTGAATTTGAAAGAGATGTACCCTCGTGACAATTTCACAAAATTTCTATGGTAGACATAGAAACGATAAGGAACATTGACAAAAAGAGGACCATCTTCATGACCTTTTCATGCGTTTAGCTAAGAAATCAGCAAGTGAAAAATAGTACTTGGTTTCAGAAGTGCTTGCTTTTTTTGAATCACCAGTTATGCTACTAGAGCCATCATTTCTCTCAATGCAACTATTGTCTAGATCTTTGCTATTACGTTGCAAAGCCGAATCTCTATAGAACTTTGAAACCTTACGGTCTACTTGAATATCTGAGGGCGAAAAACCAGATATATGAAGACCTTCCAAGCTTGTAACACGAGAAATTGCTGCATAAACCATTCCAGGGGCAAATGTTCCTTTCAAATCAATGTAAGCTTTGTCAATAGTCATTCCCTGGCACTTGTGAATGCTCATAGCCCATGCCAAGCTAAGTGGTATCTGCTTCCTACAAGCAACAACAACATCTCCATCCATTACATGCCACTCTTCTGGTCCAATCAAAAATTCTTTCCCTTTGTCAAATTTGACTACTGGCAGAAGGTTATCAGAGCATAGGCCATCAAAATCCCCTACCTTTAATTCTACAACAGTACCGGTCGCGCCATTCACCAATCCTTTCCAAGTATGCAAGTTCTTGACCAACATAACTCTTGCACCTACACAAATGGAGAGTTCATCAGGTGCTATTCCATGCTTGAGCTGGCTCTTCCAAGGTTCCTCACCATTATCAACAGCTCTATAAACAATAATATCCTTTTGCAAGCTTCTAAGCTTCTTCTCATTCACTTCCATCACCTTGTTTTTCCTTGGGAAGAGCTGCACTGCAGAGGGATCAATCTCACTCTTCGAGCAATACTTCTCGAGGAATAATAAGTCGCTGTGATCACTCTCCCCCATCCTTATGCGCTGAAGCAACTCAATAAACCGCGGATCAGACTGCCTGAAGATCCTAGTAAGTTCAATCTGCAAATCAAAGCTCTCGTTCCAACAATCAGCTTCAAATGCATAGCTCACAACCTCGGATTTATAAGTGATGGGTGGTAACTGACAGAAATCCCCAACCACAACCAGCTGAATTCCTCCCCATGTTTCACTCACACCCCTCAACTTTCTAGCAATAAACTCTAGGTTATCAAACAACCTTGCATCTACCATTCCAATTTCATCTACGACTAAAGCTTTAACCTTTTTCCATCTCCTAGATGCCCTCTTGTTAGACAAAATCCCCTTCACCAATTTTTCAGGAACATCAAATGGGGGATGGATACCAGCAAATGAGTGCAAAGTTTGCCCCCTTATAGCAAATGCTGCAACCCCAGTTGAAGCTGTGACAAAAACCTTAGATTTTGTGTGCAATTTCCTCAGTAGATTCACAACCTCAGTGAGCAATTTGGTTTTACCAGTCCCAGCTGAACCTGTGATGAACACACAATTTCCCTCTTTTACAGCAGACAACACACTCTTCTGCTCCTCTGTCCATTGAATTCTAGGCCCACGTTGATGTTTTCTCTCTGTTGTTGTCTTGTTCTTGCACTTGGCGTAAGAGCTAATATATAAGGGTTTTGAAAAACCATTTGTGCTCAAGTTTCTATACGCAGCAACAGCCATCCCAATGGTGAAAAATCTCATTTTTATTGTTCCCCTCACATACCCATCTCGGTTATTCCACAAAATTTGATGCAGAAAAAGATGAACGAAACAGAAATAGTGACATTGATTCACTCAAAACTGGGCAAGCGAAAAAAGAAAAAAAAGGAAAGGAAATTTAAACCCAGTAAATCATAAATAAATGGAAAATTTTGATTACCAAATTGATGTGTCTTCTGTGGAAAGCACTTTGATCATATCACTAAGCTTCACGGGTCAGAAGGGAATTTGAGAGAGAGAGAGAGGGGGAACCCAAACGGTGTATTAAGGTAAAAATCAATAAAGTAAAGAGAGATGCACAAACAAACATGTTTAACTAACATTAAGATTCAATCACTGAATTATTAATGACTGTTGTATACGATACGAAATGATTAATTAATTATTAAATATATTTAATTAACAATATGTGTAAAATAAATAAATAATAAAAGGAACAGAATAAAATTCATGATTTAAATTTGAAATTAATATAATCAAATAGTAACGACTGAATATATGTTATGTTATATAGGTATAAATGTGTTACAATAATATAATTATAAAAATATACATCTGTACAAATTTTTGCGGTATAGTTTTTCAAAAATAATATTCTATAATAAGGCTAAACTTGAAACTCGTTTTTTTTCCTCAATAAAATATTGATTTGACAAGAAAAAAAAATCTAGATTTCCCATTTTTAAAAATACTTTTATCAATGTTTTCAATAGTTTTTTGTCATGTCAATATATTTTCTAAAGGTTTTTTTTTTTCTTTTATTATGTAATTTGTCATCGATAAAGATAAAAGTATGAAAATTCTTTGTTATGATACTGAAAAGGAAGTGACAAGTTATTTTATTTTAATTTTTGAAAATAAGTATATGATAAATTTCAAAATATTTTATATAAATATTTTCATAATTTAGCAAGGATAAATATATTTTTTTTCCTGAAATATAAGACTAAAGTAAATATGAATTGCCGACATAATTTATTAACTTCATTTGTTTATAAAAATAAAAAAAAAATATTTATCCTTTTAAATAACACAACTTATATCTTTTCACTTTCACAAAGAGGTGAGACCCACACCTATATTTTTTTGTCAACTCTCTCATCTTTTATCTATCTCTTTATCTTTCTTAAAATGACACAACTTTACATCTTTTAAAATGACACACATTTTTTCCAAAAAATAATGATAACATAAATTTTATAAATGTTCCTATAATAATTAAAGATTAAATTAAATAATTAATCTTTACACTTTAGTTTAAATTCTGGTCCCTGCGATCCCTGATGCTCATGGCTTTCTTTGAGAGTTACCTCCCAAGAGATGTTGGTAGGTTGCTTGATGATAGCACTGCATATAAATGTTTTGCGATTGTTAGGAAGCATTATTGACATATTTAAAAACTTTGCACTCACAACAAAAATAGTAAAAATGCTAACATGATTTAAAATGTAATATTGTAGTAAATGATTTGAAAAATGAAATAATGTTAGTGATTATTTTAAAAAGTAAAATTTTGACATAAAAAAATTCTGGATTTGTGCTATGAAGTTATATCTAATTTCTTTAGGGTGTATTGACCTTAACATCATCGTAAAATATTGTCTTAGAAAGCTCAAACATGTACTTATCTACTTAATATTTATGAAGGTTGCTTTGCGATTTTAAGTGTGATGAATTTTTCATATTAGTTGGTAATAAGTTAAGTAAAGACTATATAAATAAAAAGATCCATGAAACTAATGTCTTAAGATTTTGAATTTAGACGTAGTGTCGAATTCACTTATTATAGTTTGTGTAACTTAATCCACTAATGATGTTTCCCCTGATATGAGGTTCCCTGGATCGCATAACAAAGTTGTTTTTAAAAAATAAAAAGAGAACTAATTATATACTACATACACTAATCATGTCCTCTTATGAAATATAAAGTGTCTATTACTAAACTAATATTCTTTAAAACCGTGATTCTGAAGACCTCAACATTCTCTCAGACAATATTGATGAACAACTCAGACAAATCAATTATTTTCACTTCCAAAAGTATACTTTAACACTTGATCGGTCCAGTACAATATGGGTGGGCCAATATGGACTGAGCCTAATCACACACGGTTGAAGAGTGAAGGCTTTGAGTTTGGTACTATGCTTCATGGGCTGATGATATCTGCATTGGGATTAATTGAGGTTAAGCTCTCTTGGCGCGATGGCTCTGGATGGAGGGGGTATCGGCAATGACACTCCGATACTCAAGTCAGTATCAAAGCTAGGCTTATGTTCTTACTGAATTAGATGATTATACCTGGAGGTTTACCCCCTTGCTTTTATAGCAAGTCTCATGCCGCCTTTGGTAGGTGGTGTGCCTTTTGATTGGCTGTTCTTGGGTAGCATACTTATCTATCTTAGCTGGTGCCTTTCTGGCTATACTCCTATATGATGGGCTGCCTTCTTTAGAGTAGTGGAAAACTGGAGCTGTCTTACGTGTATTGGTTTATAACGCGGTGGTTTTAGGATCCTTCTTTAGTTTTTAAGTCACATATGACGGTTAGGCGCAATGAAGCCATTGCACCTTCAGGTTTTTATGCGCGATGGAGACATCGCGTGTTTCACTGGGCCTGTATGTTTCCGGGCCTATTCTGAGCTTTCACCCTTTGTGGGCCTGTTGTATTTTATCCAGATCATTTGCCCCATAGCTTACAGCTTTTATATTTCAAAAGATGTGAAATATGTAGATTTATATTATTGCGCGGTCACTTTTCATCAGTTTTTAGCACTTTAGATCACATTGCGCACATTGTGGTGAAAACACCATCGTTACTCTGCCGTTTAAAATGGTTGATTAGACTTTAACTGTTAGAAGCATTTAATGTTATCTCAATTACATGGGTGTCTTTACAGCGAACGTGGGATGTTTTAAACTTAAATCCTTTTACCTTCTTCACACGTGCCCCCTTTTACCTGTTTCATAAAAAACGTTTTACTGTAATCTCCCTTGGTGACTGTTCGTATTTGTACTGAGTTGCTTAAGTGGAGGGAAAAACATTCGAAGATACTCATTTCTGCTGCAAAGTGCTCTTCTTCAACATTCTCACTCTGAGTTTTCCTTGGCGACACGTCCCCCATCAAAGTATAAAGCTCAGGTATATTCTGCTATTTTCTCTTCACATATTTTGTTCACGTGTTCTTTCATCTCCTGTGTTTCTTCCTTTTATTGCGTTTAGGGCATGTCTGATAATCACCAATTTGTGACTTTTATCAGAATGGCCGAGAGGTCTGATTCTACCAGTCCCCCATCAAAGTCTTTCCCGAGGTCTAGGTCTCTAGGGACTGGAGAGTGATGGCTGGTGGGTAAGGGTATTTCGCCCTGGGAGAAAACGAAACTTGAAAAGAGTTTCCCTCCCTCACTTTGAGGGTATGAGAAAGGATCCTCATCCCAAAAATCGGGACGCAGGATGTCCAAGACTTTGTCTTAACAAAGTTCATCCTCTCTCCCCATGCTTAAAATATCAACGCAGAATAAAATTGCCAATCCTATTTGCATCTCAACAAAGTTCATCCTCTCTCCCCATGTTTATAATCTATTTCAGTCTCCTGAATTGTTTTTGTGTTTGTTTAGTGTATTTGGGTCGTGCACTAGTTGGGTGTCTTTTAGGGGAAATGCAAAGCATAAGTTTTGTGATTCCTACCAGAGGAAGATTCATAAGTGGACACAAGAGTATTTTAAGATCTACCCCACGAGGGATTGCCATCCTTTTTTCCTTGAGGAGGAAGATAATGCTCCCCTATTCCCTCTCTACTGGAATAGATACCCATCAGATGAATACAAGTTGAACATATCTGTCGAAGATCTAAATGATTATGAACAAAAGACAGTTACCACCCTGTGTAACATTGCGCGAGAAGCATCAGACATGAACTACTTGAGTACCTACACCATCTTGAATGAATATACCGACGAAGATATTAAAGTCTTCTTGGGTAAACAATTTATGTGATTGAATCATTATAATTTACTCAATGTATTTTCCCCTGTTTTGTTTATATGGAGCTAATGGTAGATCTGTTGTGTTATGCCCCAGATAGTGTGATGTCTGCGAAGCTGAAAATGTTGGAAGCTGTAGCTGTAATGAGAGCTGGTGGTAGTGCCAGCCTGGCTGGAACTGTGGCACCTTCGACTGATGCTTCCTCTGCTGGTGTAGAAACTAGTCAAGGTGCTGCGGGCCTAAAATCCCCTGGTCTACAGGCGATGACCAACGTATCATCGCCCAAAAAGAAGGAAACAATGTAATCCATGAGGGGCCAAAAGAGGAAAGCTCCAGAAACAGGTACAACCTTTCAAGAGTCAACCTATTTTGGAGGTGGCTGGGTAGTTGAGGAGTGTCTATTCGCGAAGGGCAAGGAGGTTAGCCCCCAGATTGAAAAGGCATCCATGAATTCCTGGCTGGGGGATGTTGCTAAGCTGAATGTTGAAAATCAACATCTAATGTCTGTGACAGGTATGTGTGTTTGAAGTAAAGTGTGTTGTGTGTAGTCTGAGTTTAAAATTTTTCTGATTTGTTTTTGGTAACCTCCACTTTCTTCTTATGCGGCCTTGTTTCCTATTTTCAGGGACTGTAGCTTATTTCAAAGAACGTGTCGAAGAACTAGAGGGTGAGAAGTTCAACATGCTTGCTGATTTTAATGAAGCTAAAATGAAGGCTGAAGATGATAGAGCTACGATGGCGAAAGAGCTGAGAGCCAGTAATAAAGACTTAAGAACACAGAAAATGAGTCTGTTGAATCAAGTTAATGATCTTTAGACTTTCGTTGTAGATCTTGAGGAGGAGAAGATAACCCTAAATGGCGAGGTGAAGAAGTATAAGGACTTCTTTGAGAATGCCAGAATGAGGCTCTGGGCACTTTTGTAAACATCTTGAATCAAGTTCCTCTCTTTAACCTGACAGTGAAGTTGGAGAATGTTCACTATCTCCATTATGTGAAGGATG